AATACCAAAGGAAAAATAGAATGACACCAAACCTTTTTATGTAGGTGTGGAATGAGACTTCCATTGTATTGAGACCCTCAATGAAAAAGAGTCAATTTTAAAAAAGTTTTAATATTGTGACATTGCTGCTGTAGCTATAATAATTTGCAAAATTTGCAAAGTGCAAGTTTTCTTACAAAAGCAAAGAGTTGAATTTAAAGACTCTCCACTGGCAGACTTAAAATATAAGTAAGTAAGCTCAATACTTCCAGTGACAGTAAGAATCACAACTCTCGTATGGTAAAGAAAGTGATGAGAAGCCCAAGGTGGAGCAAATACTTTGTGCAATGGTGGTACTCTCTACTTCTGTCATTCCCTCTGTGGAAGGGCACAATAGTGGGCATTTCTTGTGAAATCTTAACAGATACCCAGGAATTCAGGGGATGTGATTCTCTTTATCTTGGCACTGTAATTGGACATGAAGACCTAGCCTTTACTCTCTCTGCTGGTTGGCCTGACAGTATTTACTGGAGGGTGGCTTCTTAGGCTCAGGGCACTCTGTGGAGGGAGGAAATAGCAATTTTGAGGTATGTAGAAAGAGATGGATTTGGGTGTTTTGTTTTTTGTGTGTGCGTTTTTTTGTAGACTGAGTCTCCCTGTGGCACCCTGGCTAGAGTACAATGGCATCATCGTAGCTCACTGTAACCTCAAACTAGTGGGCTCAGGGGATCCTCCCGCCTCAGCCTCTCAAATAACTGGAACTATAGGCAGGTGCCATGACATCTAATTTTTTTATGTTTAGTAGAGATGGGGTTTCGCTCTTGCTCAGGCTGGTCTCAAACTCCTGAGCTCAGGCAATCCTCTCGCCTCAGCCTCCCAGAGTGCTAGGACTACAAGCATGAGCCACTGCGCCCAGCCTTTCTGGATTTGGTTTTTTGAGGAAAATCCATACATATATACACCTGTCATTTAAAATGCTTCTGAACTAAAATTCCAAAGATGTTTTGGGATTAGACAAAAGCAGATCCTGATCAAAATAACTTCTCATGAAATTCTTGAATTCCTAAATGCGGAGATGTGGGAGGAAGGGAATAGATACCTTGACAGTAGCTTAAAACCTGCTTATTAAATAAATGCTTATGCAGCTACATCATTGCTGATACCTTATATTATCCAGAGATTAAAGTTTGTGAGGGTTTTTTTTTCTCCTGAGGTCTAAAAAGTGCTGTTGAAATGATATGACAAATTTAAAGTAGGAGTAAATGCCATTCGGCTGTGCCCTGGAAGACACACGAGTGCTATCATTTTGTCACCCAGGTGAAAGGAGTGGAATTTCTGGGAGGCTGATGGGAAAGTAACAAATGGTGGTAGAGGGCATAAAGGTTGTTCTCTCTTCTTGCTATTCTTGATATGGACTTAGATAAATAGTAACACTGTGAGTCACTAAGCAGTCCTGTTGTATCAAGCCAGAGAAGTGAGGTCAGAGACTCTGCTTGGACAAGGAGAAATCGCTAACAGGCTCAAATGGTACAGGAGGAACCTGGAGAAATGGGTCTCTCAGGCTGGAAAGAGATGACAACGAACAGCATAAAGGAACTTGGGGCAACAAAAGAATAACCACAATGTGAACTTTTTAACAAATTTATGGGCTTTAGTATGAAAAAGAATAACCACCGCCAGAGTAAAACTACTTTAAATCCAAAATGGGATTTTGGGGGGGCGGGTAGCACAGCTAATTGAATAATGTAGATTAATTACTCTGAAGGCCTCTTTAAAGGTTTGCTGAAAGCTGTCTGTTCCATGTCCCCCTCAATCAAAGAACTAAGTCAGGAATCATGAAATTAAAAACAGCTGTCAGGAATAGTGACTTATTTATTTTATTTTGGATCCCAGGAATCTACCAAGTATCTCAAGCATTTTTAAATAGAAGCTGCGATCACAGCAAGAAGAGTTTAATTTATATCTCTTAAAAATGTTTCTGGCCATCCAGGAGATACTCTTTCCTCTTTAAGCTCTAGTCCCTGGGTAGAGCCTGTTGCTTGTAGCAGGCAGGAAGATGTTATGGCAGTCAGAATTCACTCCCTTTTCAGCAAAGGTTTTGTCACTTTGCCAAGTGACATTCTAGAACTGTGTTTAGAGTGGTGGAAGAAGGCCCCTGTCCTCATGCAGCATACAGTCTAGTCCATTCTTTTTCATAGCCTTTAGGACTCCAAGTGTGGTGCTAACCTGAGGAGTCTCCTTGGTTTTCCCACTACAAATTGGATGGGCTTAAGGCCATCTTTTCCCCAGGTCCAGCTCATGGGCTTCAAACTCGGCTGCAGCCAAGCTCTGTGTGTTATAAACCCAGTCGACCAGGCAAAATCTTCTGTCAACTTTAACATGCCCAACTTTGCTTAGTCTCAAACATCTTAAACATGCCTTCCTTCAGCCTCACCTCGCTGTCTCTCACCTGGTCCTTAACTGGCCTCCCTGCCTCTCCTGCTAACAGCCCTCACAGATCCATCCTTCCTGCTGCATCTCACCGGTGTGAGGGTTACCCTCCTAAACTGTGAAATGGTTCACATTGTGTCCTGGGATAATTGTCAGTGGTACCCTAACTTTCTGGCCTGGCTGAGGGCTTTCAAGAGCTGCCTCTGTCTGCCTGGCCCATCTCGTTTCCTGCCGTTCTCTATAAGACTTTAACTGTGGACATTGTTCACATGAGCGCCCTTTGCACCTTTTGTGTGGACTCGGGTCTTCCCTGATATCCTGGGCAGCTGGTCAGTCCATCCTCCATCTTTCTGTGTCACTGCATGTATATATTGACATAACTATTTGTTTATATGTCTTTACTCTTAAGGCAGGCCCCTTGAAAGATGGTGTTAGGTATGCTCAGGGTGGGAACCCAAAAAGTATGTATAGAATGGAATACAATTAATAGAAAACTTAGATAGTGATCATAAGGCCTGTGAAATAATAGCCACAGGAGTCTGGAGAATCTGGAGGTTGTAAATCTAACTCTGACCACAGACGGTTGTGGCGACATTGGCAGGAACCGGTAAAGGGAAATTTGCGTTCCTCATCCCTCCCGTTACGGATGAAGCTTGTCCCTCCCTATCTCTGCAGGATGTGACTGAGCAGGGGTCCCAGAAATTGGTTGTTTGAAAATAATTTATTACAATAGCTGTTCTGGCCCAACTGCTCACTCCCTCTGGAAAAACCCTCCGTAAAACCCAAGGGTCTCCCCTTTCTTGCATGGAAGCTCTTTTTGTGCTCCACCCATCTGTACCCCGATGCTCAAATAAATAGCATTTTGCTACACCTGAGGCTTTGTGTGTCTCCTTCTTGGCTCTGGATCTAGCAGATGGCAGTGTATTTTCTTTTCACATATCTATGGGCTATAACTGGTATAGGTCCATAAGGGTTTGTAGAATAAATGAATGAGCTCAAATGTATCAGTGTGTCATAGATTGGGTTTTCAGACCACTTCCATCCACTTAGTTTAATGAAACAGACATGGCACACCACAAACTTGTAGTTTTCTGGGACATCTAGATACTATCAAATACCAGGTATAGCTCAAAATTGAGATTGGGAGTGTCCTTTTATCCTTGTTGATCACCTGATCAACTCTGATGCTAAAGTGTTCTACGACCTTAAAAAGTTTTAAAGCCTCTAGTGTTCACTTACCATGAAAAAGCTGTCCTCTTAAGTGGCTTGTCTTTTTATATTACTTCCTTATAAAGGTTCTGAGGATACATTTTCCAGCAAGCACTTATTAGATGGCCAACTCATTTGAAGTACATGGTTTTATGTTTTTGGAATCCGTACTCTATTCATATAGACATGCATATGTTGATTGTGTCTACATAACGCTAGTTACACAAGTAATAACTTGCATTGAGTGCTCACTGTGTGCCAGACACTGTGCTAAAGTACTATAGATTCATTAGATCTATGAACTTTTTTTTATATATTATCTCTATTTTATGGATGAGGAAACTGAGACAAAAGAGATCAAATTTGTCCAAAAAACCAGAGGTAGTAAGGGGCAGCCAACACGCAAATCCAGGTGACTATTCCTGAACATATACTCTCATTATAATACCATTCCAAAAATTGAAAAGGAAAAAAAATCTGTGTAGACAGATACTGAAAATTGAAATGGGGAAAATTCTATTTCTGTTTATTATACAAAAAGAATTTTAGACAATGAACTAGTTTTCCATATAGGTAATGTACTTTTTTTTTTTTAATTCCCAATACCTACTTTGTAGAAAGGCACGACTTCTGTACATAATGAATTTAAAACATCTGGATGATTTCTCATCTAGGAATAATACTTCTCAACTGCTACAGACTCCTTGAAATACTAGTTAGTATTTGACAAAGTTTTGTTTTTATTAAATTCCTGAGAAATCATAATCACAGTAATTTTCAGTTCTTTTGGTGTCATGGTAACTTATGTAAAGCAGAAATTTTCATTTAATATGTATACTCTATGGCAAGGGACACAGAAATAGCACTTGACTCTGGGACCCCTTGATACTTTGAAATCCTAATGAGTATAGTATCAGAGCTTCTGCAGGCAGGTTTAATTCTGAGAAGTGAACTTTCTCCTAGCAACAGCATTTTTTTCAAATCAAAGTCAAAATCTAGCTTGAAAGATCAGTAATATTTTGAAAAGCAGTAATTACATATCATGACAAAGCAATTATAGGACCATATCTATAATTTTAATCAGAGAATTATAATAGTTTCTGATTTTTCAAGGTAACCAGTGGGTAAGACCAGATGAAATTATTGACAAACTGTGCTAAGCCTCTTTGCCAAAGTTGAACATTTCAATTTAGACCAATCGGGTAATTATTTGGGGGAAAGTTCAGGATTTCTCTTGAGATCATCTTGTTAGGTGATTAAAATGAGGAACAGTTGAAATAAAAAAAAAAAATGAGGAACAAATTTGGATAAAAGATGAACAATGGTTTTGTTTTGTTTTTGTTCAGTTGGAAGGTATAAAAAGAAGCCTTTTTCTCTTTCAGCCTTGCCTTACACCCAGACAAAACTCTTGTTGCAACTGGCCAAGTTGGGAAGGAGCCATATATATGCATATGGGATTCCTATAATGTCCAGACTGTGTCTATTCTTAAAGATGTCCATACACACGGAGTTGCCTGCCTGTCTTTTGACTCAGATGGACAGGTATGTACCTTTCTTCATTTGTTTTCTTTAATGACTTTTCACAATTTGCCTAAAATGATAATGCAAATAGCCAATAGACTCAAAGCCCAGCAACCATTACTGGTTCCCTTGGTAGCCTCCTAGAATTTCTCACCTTTTTGACACTTTTCCAAGGTATGGCACTAACATCCAGCTCTGGCTAGGCCCCAGTCTGAGTTACCCCAGTCTTACCATCTGGTTTAAAAAGTCTCCATAAAAGAAGTCATGAATTCACACTGATGAGGTTTTCACCATGACTCAGCAATTCCACATTTTCATCCCTTGTTAGCTTCCTATTTGGACTAAGGGCTGAACCAAGCCTTACTCACAGACCTCAAGCCCTGAGCATTACCTTAGTACCCGGTTGCTTTTAGAAGATGACATCACCTCGTAATAATCCAACTAGAAGATTCTCTTTGACCCTTTACCTTGAGACCACTTGTAACTCCTCTCTGCCCCCTCCCAATTCACTCACCAATTCCTGTGTATTTATAAATTTCTTTACAATAACTCTCTGACATTCATTCTCTCCTCCATCCTTTAAGTTCCAAGTCGGTTCCATGTCTGACTTGGTTTAAGTAACCTCTAAACTGTTCTCCTCACAGTCAACTTCTTGCTGATGTATTTCACTAACTTAAAGAAAGTGTCAAGGCATCGTTTTAAAACCACGAAAAGCTTGGGGTACCCATTGGATGAAGTCCACACTGTGTAGTTGGCCATTTCTAGGCTTACTAGCTTTGCCAGACTCATCTCCACTATCCCCTTGTCGTGGAACTGGATGAGTTTGCAAGATTCCTCTACCAGGCCTTGCCCCTCTGCACCCCCACGCCCTTTCCCGCCTTGTCCTGTGCTCCTGGAGTGCCCCACACACCCTCTTAGCCCCTTGAGTGAATGACTCAGTCTTTGAAGACACTTCAAAGGTCTTCATGAAGCCTTTCCAGTCCTAACAAAGTTTTCTCTCCTTCCTTTGACCTATAGCAACACTTGGCAGAAAAGATATGTTAATATGTTCTAGCAAAGGAAGTGGAAACACAGATGCGTCATCCCTGGCACCCACTGCATTCACCTCCTCGCTAAGGCTGCGCCTCTTCTCCCCAGCCTTCTCCACATCCCTAAGCCACCCTTCCTCTGTCTCTTTGACCCTCCCTGTTTCTGCCTATTAATTCCTCCAATCCAAGTTTTGGCAAATTTCAGAGTTAATTCTGTAAGTTGATGCCATGGAAAGATCTGTAAAATTATTCAGAGGCTTGACCAAACTGAGAGTTTGTGGGTAATTCAGTGGATTAAAAAGGAGTTGACCTGGTTTGAGTCACTTTTTTTTTTTTTTTTAACAATTAGCATTTACTTAGTGTGTTCTACTATTTGAAGAGAGCATTGATCATTATTCATTTTTCTTTCTAGAACTAGATTAACTACATTGTGTAGTAAATGCTAATTCCTGGAATATATATATATTCTTGATTTTACTACTCTAACCTCAATCCGGTTTAGTCAGGTTAATGCATACATCTGTCTATTCATGGCTAAAGAGAACTAGCCAGATAGTGATATTTGTTCAGGCTTGCAGTTAAATTGACATGTTGATTAAATTAAATGAGTGTCAGCGTGCATATGTACATACAAGTATAAATGTATGCTCATATGTGTACTTGTATGCACGTTCTCTAATCTGGTATTTGAGCAACCATTCCTTCTCAAAATTTGTTCTCCAGTGTCACAAGAAAAGGTAGTGCAGCAGGGGGAAACCCAGCTTTAACTTTTAGTTTTTGCCCATGTTATTTCATGATAGAGTCCTAGCTATTCTCCCAGCTTCCATTTGAAGGGTGGGTGTGGGGGTGGGCTGCATGATACCTCCTATCTGCCCACGATGGATTTCATGGCTTGTTGACACCTATTGCTTCAGGTCTGCTTTATTCTATGGACAGAGTTCACTGGAATTGAATGATATTTAGAAAATGACAAATAGCCCATCACCTCACCATCAACAAAAGGCAAAAGAAATGCTTTTCGGGTAGCCTATGGGGCCTGTCACTACAAATGAACAAAATAGGTTTCTTTTGGCTTTTCTCAATCAAGAAATGTGGGTTTTACTTTGGTGCCCTGTTTGTTAACTGCTTTTTCTATTAAAAAAAAATAAGCTAAATGGAATTCACCCACTTAGATTTTCTTATGAATGAAAATGTAACCATGTCTTATTTCCATTGCTGGAACCCTCAATTAAAAATTACAACAAAGACTGCCTTTCTTAAGGGCATTTTAAAACCGCTATCTATGTTTTTTATACTTAATGTTCCTAATGAAAGCCATCTTTAGTGAAGAAACCTGAATAATCCCTGCATAATACATGTATACCTTTAGTCGTATGTGGCTAGCTGTCTTTCCATATATACCATGTGAATGTGCACATACACTCAAACATACTCAGTGAAGCACACAGTATACTTGGGTAGTACTATATTTTTAAAAAACCCTTTGATTTACATTACTTCACTTGACCCACAGCAATCCTATGAAGTAGAAAGACCAAATTTTTTTACATTCATTATACAAATGAGAAAACTGAGATTTAAGGAGGTTAATTTTTCCAAGGTCTTATGTCTGGCTATTTATGAATGCAAAGTCAGACAAGCAAAATCTACTTCCTCCCAGTCCAGACTTCTGTTACACAATGCTGTCTGCTTATAAGTGGTATCCTGTAAGAACCTCGGATTTTGGTGTTCCTAATGTGTGTTTTTGACACTTTTGACTATGTATATAATCATATGTGTTGAATTTTCTTTTTACTTTAAGGGTAAGTTCTGATCTGAACCCAGGGAATTTAGGCTGGGAGATGAAGTACCAGATTAATTTTACTAAGATTATACATCCTTCTTTAGTTACTTTAAATGTTTGTGAAATTATAGAAAACTAAGAATGTAAATGTTCACTTATTGGATTTGTTTTTGAAACACTTTAATTTTAGTAGTTTGAGGCTCTTAGACTATGGATTCCTAGGCTCTTCTAAATCTTGTGTTGATTTTTAAACTAAAAATTTAAGTTAAACATTTGAAACCCTGCCTTCAAGTTCTGTTCCTATTGATTTTCATTGATTTATCAGAGACTTTGAGAGTTTACATGTATGTTTCCTGTGTTTGAAAAGGACAAACGAGCTGTAGCTTTTAGGTTTTTGAAATTTCAGCATATACTAATGGAAGTCATCTATTGTTGATAGTTTTGGGTTTAAGATGGATTTTGAAAAATTTAAGATATTTAATGCATAACCCATATGATCAGTAACTATTTCTTAAAGCATGAATCATAGGAAATCTTCCCATCACTGTCATGTATTATATTATTCTTGTTTTTAGCGTTTAGCCTCTGTGGGATTGGATGCCAAAAACACGGTCTGTGTCTGGGACTGGCGGAAGGGGAAACTTTTGGCCTCAGCCACCGGCCATTCCGACCGGGTAAGACCTTGTTGGATCAAGCTATGCAGATTTCAGAACTGTGGGAAAATTGTGATGTCACTTCTCAGACTTTAATATTTTTAAAAATAAATTTGCCATGTATAGACTTTTCCGACATATTCAACTTATAAACATCCTGTTTCTTCATGATTGACAGCTAACTATGTTGGTGTGATTGCTTCTGGTGCTCGAATACTTAATTTGAATTGTTACTGCTTTTTATAGGCAAAGCAAATTTTTGATGCTGGCATTTGGCTTCTTTATAAAACCAAAATAGAGTTGAAATTATATGTTTAGTTTAGATGTATTCATTTAGAAATGGAAATAGAAAATATTCACAAAACATGATTACAAGGGTATGTATTTTAATTTCGAATTGAATATAATGACAATTGTGATTAGTTGTTATATTTGAGAATATTGAATGTAAGTTGTAGCCTGCTTATTATTCATATTGAAGTCAGTGTGATCAGAAATAATTCCATGTAGTCATAGCTGGTAAGACAGGGCACAGAATAGGCATAGACATACAACTGGTGAGAAGTCTTTTTCTCCAGTGTCTTGTATAATTAACATAATTTAACTCCTTTATTGTCTTGATAGTCTCGTTTAAAAGAGAAGTGAACATGCGTGACTATCTTACTTGAATTTCCAGTAGTTTTGTATTTCTGCACAATATGTGTTCATATAAAATGAGGCCCTAATTAAACATTAAATTCACCTTATCTTAGTATGAACTCTAAGGGGGGGGGTATGTGGGAGGGCAGTTAATATGAATGTTACGTTCATCTATGGAGTTGTATAGTTGTAAGAGGACCCCACAGTTGCAAATTCTACTCAAGGAGTGACCAGCCATAGAATTTCAGTGTTGGAAGAAGCCTGGTGCCCCTCTGGTCTAATGGCCCCAACCCTGGCTACATATAGAATCCCCCAGGGAGACTTAATACTTAACAGCGTGGTGACACTTGGGCGCTATGCTCAGGGATTCTAATTTAACTGATATTAACTTAGTATTTAATGAACTGTTTAGGTTGGAAACATTTGTGATGCTTAAGTTTCGGATGTTACTTTTTGTGCTTATACTATGGTTGCATTTTGTCTTATAAGGGAAGTAGAATTGGACTGGATCGATATGTGAATTTCCAGTGCTCACAGAAAGTGGACATGAGATCAGTTCACACTGTTGTGATGCCATACCTGGCTCTACTGAGAACAAACTCATATAATATCTAAACTATTCTGTAATTACTACTTCTATTTCTGAGTCATTTTATATAGTCTGACCAGAATTAGTACACTATATGTCAAAATTTTTGGCCTGTTATCTTGGAAAAAGTAGAAAACTAAAGTTAGAAGCACTTGCAACCAGTAAAATCTCAGAAAAATAGCCTAATGTAATCACCTTGTCTTGTACATAAAGTGTTTTTGTTATTGTTAAATTCCTACTGTTATATTAAACTAAACATGGCTTAAGGCTATCTCCATACTCTAAGTCCCTACATAACCAACTGAAACCTAGCTTGGTAAGTAAACAAACTGAAAGCCTAAGAGTATACTTTTGTAACAAATAGCTGAGTTGCAGCTGAGCTTCAGCCAATCACAGGCTGCCACCTGATCAGACCATCCCAAATAAAGCTAACTCAAGCTGTTTCTGTACCTCAGTTCCTTTTTCTGTCTGTGTGTACCGCCTGCCCTGTTGCAGAGCTCTCTGAACCTCTTCTGGTTCTGAGAGCTGCCCAATTTGCAAATGGTTCTTTGCTCAATTAAGCTGTTAAATTTAATTTGTCTAAAGTTTTTAACACTACTGTATGGCACTCGACCTGATGTTGATGACTGTACTCTATTGCTTTGTTATACTTTTTTTTTTTTTAAGACAGGGTCTTGCTCTGTCACCCAGGCTAGAGTGCAGTGGCATCATAGCTCACTGCAACCTTGAACTCCTGGGCACAAGTGATGCTCCTGCCTCAGCCTCCCGAGTAGCTGGGACTTACAGGCATGCACCACCACACCTGGCTACTTTTTTCTATTTTTTGTAGAGACAGTTCTAGCTCTTGTTCAGGCTGATCTTGAACTCCTGAGCTCAAGCAATCCTTCCACCTTGGCTTCCCAAAGTGCTAGGATTACAGGCGTGAGCCACCACGCCCAGGCTGTTAACA